TGCGGGCAGGTGCAGGCGTGCCCTGTATGTGCAGCATAGCCACATCCCCAGGTCTTGAATGAGGGCGGGTTGATCTGGGTGCCAAGTGCTTTCTCAGTGCCATCTCCAGTGTCTGCACTGGTTGCGGTTTAGTCTTCGGTGCCTGCTTAGGCTTCGGTGCCAGGTTGACTCTCGGTGCCGGGTTAGTCAGAGTCTTCATGAGGCAACGGTATCTGGCTGCGGTGCCGCTCAGAGATTCGGTGCCGATTCCGGGCGACCTGGCGGAACCGAGAGCACTGAGAGTGCGGGGCTCGGCGCCAACATACTACGGGCTTTGGGTAACTTGTCCACTCCCTATGTGGGAGGGTAGCCTGATGAGCCTTGTGTCTCTCCTGCACTTAGGCTCCTGGACAGAGCGGAGCTTTTTCCGTCCCTGGACTTATGCGGGGCTGGAGCTTCCCATTCTTCTACTGACGGGGGCTGAAGCGCCTTATTGAAGAGTAGCATCTTCAGGCGCATTTCTCTGTCCCGCCTCGTCCACGCGGTCAGCTTGGAACAGTGACCGCATTTCTGGGGGATGTGGCCCTCTCCCAGGCAGTGAATACAGCGGGAGTGGCCATCGGAGACTGGCATGGCGTCCCCGCACGAAGCGCATTTCTTAAAGCTGGGAGAGCCGGACATGTTTAGTGCGGCGGTCTCCGGGGGAAGAAAGAACTTGAGGAGCTGGTCAGAGCGGCCCTCAGAGGTTATAACGGCAAGAGAAATTTTTTTTTTAAAACTATTAACTACTAACTAACACTATGTAGGAAGGGGCTAACTGGGAAAGAAAAAACGAATAAACGATACGATTTCTCCTCAGGAGAGGAGCGTGTTCCAAGTCCGTCTGCGGCCGTGGACGGTTAGGAGGAACTGGCGAGTCGGACCGCGCGACGCAGAAAAGGCGCGAACGCTGCAGGACGCTCTGCGCATGCGCGGTCCTCCGGAGAGGGCTACTGCTGGCAAAAACTTTCCTGTTTGCGGCGCCGGGACGAGCCCGACACCTGTAGTGGAGCACCCACAGGGACATCACTCGAAGAAGAAGGGGGGGCTATGAGGCATCTGGGGAGGCTATGAGGTATCAATTTCTAGGAGGGGTTTTATGCTTCAAATATCCAATTATTGGAACATATTAATTCAACAGGGCATTCATACTATGTGTTTGTACAGCACCCAACACAAAGTAGCTATACCATAACTGAAGCTGTTGGACAGTACAGTAATACAAATGATAAAATAGTAATCAGTGTGGCATCCTTACATTAAATTATGCAAATGGTACAGAAAACAACATACTGCATACCAAGCTTACAACTCAATTATTTTAAAATAGTTCAGAATAGTTAGCTTTACATAGCAATGTTCATTACATGTAAAAGATATGCTGTTTTTGTCCATACTTTCTTAAAACAAAGTACCCTTCCTAAAAACCTCAAAGCAGCAGTTCTTAGACTATAGTCCACGGCCACCAGTAGTCAATAAAATACAGCTCCAAGAAACTGCAGCTAAAGATTCTGTGTAATAACCTTACTCCAGATCATGTATTCTTCCTGGTTACGTCCACACTGCAAGGTTTTTGCGCAAAAACCTACGGAGCATCCACACCTCAAATGAGCTTTTGTGCAAGTAAACTGGCAGTAATACAGCAGAAAAGAGGGCTTTTTCCAGTGTAGGTAAACCTCCTTTTATGAGGCATAACTCCTTTTTGCACTACAGCTCTTGCACAAAAAGGCACATGTGGATGCTCTGCAGGGGTTTCTTGCACAAAAAAAAGTCTATCAGAAAAAGCACAGGTGCTCAGATGGCCATTCTGTGAATGGCAATCACAGGATTTTTGCGCAAGAGCGTCCATGTAGCGTGAATGCTCTCTTCCGCAAAAGCACATGGCTTTTGCAATGCGCTTTGAGGTGTGGACGTGCTCTTGCGCAAAATCTTGCGTAAAAGACTTCTTGCGCAAGAAGCCTGAAGAGTAGACGTAGCTCCTCTGTTCACCTAACAGGGATTATGGAATATTGTACATTTTGTAATAAAAATACCCACATCATTCATATCAAATGTTAGTCATACATCTATCAGTATGCTTTAGATCAGTGATTCTCAACCAGGGGTACACAGAGGTCTTCCATGGGGTACTATTTAGATTAGGAAGGTAAAATCCTCTTAATCAGTTAAACCTCTTGCTGCCAGTTCCCCTGCGCAAGACTCCTGGGCTGCCACTGCCAGCTTACCCCCTCGCCCCCGCACGTGGGGGGCTGGCAGCAGGAGCTTGCAGCCACACATAGCAGGGGTGGACAGATTTCTGCTCCCTGCTCCCCTACACAGTGGGCTGGCAGCAGGAGCAATCATCAGCCCTGTGTGCAGGGAGCTGCTCCAAGGTATCAGTTAATCGGTACCTGGTAAGCTCACCCAGTAAGATTAACTGGTTACCTGTTCACATCCCTAATCTAGATATTTCCCTGGTTTTACCACAGGCTACATCAAATGTACTAGAAAACTCAGTACAAACTAAAATGTCATACAATGATTTGTTTACACCATTCTATATAATATATCGAAGCTCTCAAACTGTGGGCAAGTTCATTTTAATGCGGTTGCCAGTGCCAGCGATAGACTTGCAGAAAGCCCAAGCCCTGGTACAGGGGGCTGAAACCAAAGCCTGAGTTTTTAAGTGAGGTGAAATTTGGGGTATGAAAGACAAATCAGACTCTTGAAAGGGAAAGGCTGAGAACTACTACTTTAGATACTCATCTGGGCCCACTGTGTGAAGAGTGGGCAGAGTAAAGGTGGTCATTAAACCTTTTTCTGAATAGCACCAGTTTTAGAACCATATGCAGGATGGAGATAGTAAATGCAGTGCTTTTCTCAGTATATAGATGAATGAAGTAGATGGAGTTTTGGCTCATGCTGTGATGCCAAGTGAGAGGATGCATCTGTATTGTATATGATAAGCAAACAAAGGAATAAACTAATTATTTTCAACATGTTATGTTGCTCTCCACTGAGCCCCTTCCACACACAATCAACAGCAACAGAGAAGAACAGGTTTCAGAGAGATAGCCGTGTTAGTCTGTTTCAGCAAAAACAGTAAGGAGTCTGGTGACACTTTTAAAGACTAACAAATTTATTAGGGTATTAAAACATAAGCTTTCGTGAGCTACAACTCATTGCCTCAGGTCAAGTCTACATTAATGGAGAAGATTGAATCAAGATATGCTACTCCAGCTATGTTTATTATGTAACTGGAGTAGACATACCTTGATTCGAGTTTCCCTGCTTTCCCCACAGCAGGAGGCCAATGGGAGCAAACGCTCACGTCAGCTTCCCTTACTCCTCTTACTCCTCGCAGGAGCACTGGCCATTGATAGGGATGCCCTTTGAGTTTGATTTAGTGAGTCTTAACTAGACCAGCTAAATCAAACTCCAGAAGATCAATCACAGCAATGTCAATTTTCCCTGGCCTCAGATGATGAAGAAAAAGAAAAGAGAGACAGAGAGAAAGGAAAGAAGGAAAGAGATGGGAGCATGACATCAGTGCTAATTAATATATCCCATCTCTAAATCCTTTCTTTCCCCTCTTTCTGTCTTTCTTTCTTTTTCTCTTCAGTATCAAGGAAGTGAGCTGTAGCTCACGAAATCCTATGCTCTAAAACCCCGATAAATTGTCTTTAAAGTGCCACCAGACTCCTCAGTTTTTTTAGACAAGAACGATGTAGACATCATACGTTCTCCAAAACCGGGGGTGTTTAAAACTCCCTATAAATACACCAAAGTACAGACCAAAACGACCACCGCAGCAGCCCAAATGAAGAAAAATGGTCAATCGACATTTAACTGAAATTTAATTTCAATTATAAAATGTTTATAGGCTACATATTTTTGCCTATCAGATTATAGTTTAAGATTCCTCCCTCCCTGACTTTTCAGAAGAAATTGCATTACCTTGAAACAAACCAGACTGACAGCTCTACAGAAAGATATATAATAAACAACAGCCATGCAAGCATCTCTCAACTGTCCTACTCATTTGCCTCCACTGATCTGAACAGACTTCTCCAAAAGAGGGACAGGGCAGTTTCAGTCTCCATGCCCATTCAAACCTTGATCTTCTTACTAAGTCTGGTCAGGAGCATACAAATTAGCATCAGCTATGGTAGCATTGCTTTTTGCCCTTGTCTACACTACACAACTTGGATTGAAGTAAATAAAAAGCTTGTCTAATTATGCTGATATCAACCTCTAACAGACATGGTTAAAATCATTTTAAGTCACACTTAAAACAGATTAGTTTACTACACTGAACAGACTGATTTACGCACATCTATATTAAGAGTTCTCATGGATTAACTAGACAGATATTCAGATATATTACAGCAAGTTTCCAGTATATATAGGACAAACCTCAACAGGAACTAGACAAAGAATACAAATTTATTTCACACAGACCACAGAACAGTCTTTGGAAAATAATGACCCCACTCTAATGTAATTACACTGGATGTAAGTCAAGCCATAATGTGCATAAAGCGTTGTTATAGCCATTATGGTCCATGATATTAGTGAAACAAGGTGAGTGAGGTAATATCTTTTATCGGACTAACTTCTGCTGGTGAGAGAGACAGAATTTGACTTCTGTCACTACTGCCCAGGACTGAATTCATACATGTGTCATAAAGGGAGAAGGCTCAAATCCTGTTCAGCCTGAAAGCTGAACAGTTTACTTAAATAAATATGATAAAGAACTATTTTACAGGGCAAAAATGAGTGATTCTTTATTTTTATAAACAATGGAGGTATCAGTAAACCTCCATTTAAAAAGTGAAATATTTGCCTACATTGAGTATTCTAATTTGCTCATCTTAAAATTTTCAAAAAAATTAAAATTTTCCTGATTAAAAGTTCTGAATTTTTAGAAGTTTAATATATGAGACAGTGGGTTTTTTTCCAATAATCTTGAGATAACTGATTAAGCAAGCACAAAATCTTACCACGCCCAGTTTTTCAGAAGCATTAGCTTTCCACAGACGAATGTTCATCTCATCTGAGCCACATAGAATGTATTTGTTGTCAGAGGTCCACTTGACGGTGATGACATGCTGCATTCTCTTTGTATGATATACCTCTCTGAAAGAAGCAAGAAGAAACATTAGAAAATGTGTTATAATTGCTTTCCTGATTATTTGCTGCCTTTCCAATATCATGAAGCTCTCTCTCTTCAAAGTCCAAATATTTGGTCTACAATAAACCATTACCCATTAAAATGGTTTTGTTTAGAAGAGAATAGTCTCCAAAATTGATACATACCAAGTTCTCCAATTAAATTCCACGTAGACTCTACTTACAAAACATCATCTGGATAATACTTAAACAGGTTCATCTCTTCCATAACATCTAATTAGCAGAAGAATTGCTGTCTTTAGCCTCTCAAAGTCAGTCATATGGACATGCAATAATTACAAATCCCAGACAACTATTTCTTTATAAATTGCACTTTCAATGGTATTTATTAGTATAATGTCATACTGAGTAAGTCTGAGTATGGGAATTGTAGAGATAAACTTAGTTTGCCTGGCACCAATACTGTGAATGAGTGAATAGAGAGGTTTGAAATCTCAAAACATTAATATGAATTTGGAGATGTGTCAGTTACTTATTCCCTGTAATTTTCATCCTTTACCCCCAGAACTCTAGCCTCCTCCTTTGTCAGTCAATGAGGAATTTGCAGAACTATAGGAGAAAACAGATTAAAATAAAAATGGTTCAGCACACATGGGTGATTGACCATTGTTGACAAACAGGTGAATAATTCAGAACAGCAATGTTGCTTTTAAACTAATAACTAACAATCAATTTCTGCAGACTAACAAATCAACCTTTCCTTCAACATTACTAGCTACAGTTGAAAAATAAATCAGTGCCAACCTTCAGAAATGCTCCATTTTTTTTTGTTCAACAAACTTGATCTTTCAGCTAACTTATGAGTGAAAATGTCTAAGTGTTACATTGAAAACAAACTTCAATTTGGATTTCATTCAATATTTACTAAGCGAACAAGTGGATCAATAACATTTACACAGAGCAATAAATCTATTTCAGATACATAAATAATTTAACAAAGTTGTACTATGTCTTATATGTATCAATGTTCTATAATTTAACAATGAACATTTAGTCAAACTTCATGTTTTAACCTTCAAACTAACTTTTTTAGTATTTAAATCCATATTTGATAATTAAACAAAAAAACAGATAAAAATAGTTTTAACACTTATAGTGCCTTTTATACAAAAAAGGGGGAATCTAGTGACCTAAGTGGACTTTAGATCAGGCCCAAAATACATTACAGTAGTGGCTAAGTACCATTATTGCTATTTTAGAACTGTCAAAATAAATGCTATCTATGCTTAAAAAAATAATTCAAATTAAGTTAGGGTATGATTTTAAGGCACAACAGCTATTCTGGACCAGATCCATTTGTAAACACACTCCAAAGTAAAAGTGCCTTTTTTTTTCCTGTTTCACTTAATCCATTGGGCTAGATTAAAATACATCAAGGCACACTTACTACAGAATTAAAACAACAAATGGGGGTATTCCCGAATAGCTCCAAACATAGATAAGCCCTTAGGCACACAGAAGTTAAGTGGTTTAATCTAGCTACACAGGAAAGCAATTGCAGAGCCAAGATTATGTCTAGGTCTTGAGACTCATTGCATCATCCAAAACACTGAACCAAGATGCCTCCATTAAAATCCAAACTACTGGGTATGTAAAACAGTAAGTCGAGAACAAAGTTCCCTCAAAGCTACATGGCTATGCAACTGCACAGCTATTTTCTGAGCCCCACCCAGAGGTTCAATGCTTCTCGTGCAGGCAGGGAGCTCAGCTGACTGGAGAGGAGCTGAACTGAAGAGCTCCCAGAGCAGAAATGCAGATGAGATAAGCAGGTAATAAGTGGCTAGTGGGAGGGAGGAAGTAATTAATTAATTGGCTTGGGGGAAGTCAGAAGAGAGGAGAGCTTGAAGAGTTCCATCTGCCAGAGGAGAGAGAGACAGGCAGAAACACAACAGTCTCTTCAACCCTCCTGGGCTAGGAAGCGGGAGGTAAGGAGCTGGCTGCATGGGGTAGGTGGGGAAAAGAAGGCGTAGGTGGGTGCTGGCATCTGTGCAGTGAGGTGGAGGCAGGGGACTGTTTGTTGGGGTGTCCTGACTCACTGCAGTCCTCTCTATTAGGTTGGGTTTGAGGGAGGGGGGGAAAAAAGCAGGCTGCATGGGACATGTGCTAGGAGGACATTTGCATGATTATATTTCACACAAAGTTTACATAGGTGTTAGTGGTTTAAGAAAGAAAAATATTCTTTCTACAGAATTTTTTTTTTGGAGTTTTGCAGATATCTAAAACTCTGATTTTAATGATTTTTTATAATCCTGTGTTACTAATTAATACATGGTAAACTGAATTGCATTAAGACCAGATCTTTGCTACGTGGCAGAGTTCTGGCTTTTATCAGTCAGAAGTAGCAAGTACTAGGTGTGATGCTAGTTTTGTATTATAAAACTTATTTGCAAGCTCTTTGAAACATGCAAATGTGTACAAACCCTGAAGTCATATGTTAATATGGGGCTTCTACTCTTCCTTGAGTGGAAGAAGGCTGATACCCTACCTTTGTATAGCACCTCTGTAGTCACTAAGGCAGTGGCTCTCAACTCGTTTCAGTTCACGGACCACCAGGTCAATAAAAAAATTTTCATGGACCACCTCCTTTTTGAGACATGATAAAAAAAGAGCAGACAATGAACATTTTGGTTTGAAATTTATTTCTTACTAACAGATTTTTGGATCCTCTTCTCACTGACAAACTTTTCAATGTTTGGAGTGGTACTTGATAATCCACTGCAAGCCGATTCCTCTGTTTGGGCTTAACATGCAACAAACACGAAAATCCAGTCTCACACATATAAGTTGATGCAAATGGCAAAAGAAATCTGACTGCATGTGCTAACAGATTTGGGTAACTCCCATGCTGGTACACATCTTGAGCTGCAAAATCATTTTTCAGATCCAAGAATTCCTCCTGCAGATCCTCTGGAACACTATTAACATCTGTTGTAAAAGGATTCCTGATGAAAGATAATCCATCCCTTGTCCTGTCCACCTCCGGAAAGTATCGTTGCAATTCGTCTTGTAGCTTCCGTAAATGATCGAAAATTTGCGTCCAAATGGCTTCCTTTTCCCCCCCGACCATGGCATCCACATATGGAAATTGAACCAAATTATTGCCTTCGACTCTTACAATCCAGAGTTCCAATATGTCAAGAAAAGCCTTGATGATGCTTTGGTGAGAGAACAGATTTGCACCTTTCCCTTGCAGCTGAAGATTCAGTTTGTTCAAGATTCCAAAAATATCGACAAGATACGCAAGTTCTAAATTTGACTGCGTCAGCACATTTTGGAATTCCTCTTTCCCTTGAGCCTGGGGAAATAAATCCAACTCCTCTCTCAATTGAAAAACTCTGCTGAGTACGTTCCCTGCTGACAACCTCCGTACAGAAGTGTAGAACAGCAACACATCCAAGTCAGAACCCATGTTCAGGCAAAATCTTTTCAACAGCTTGGGTGTTCAGAGCCGATGATTTGATGTGATTCACCACTTTCACCAACCCTTTGAAAACAGCGTTCAGTTGATCAGGCAATGTTTTTGACGCCAAAGCTTCCCTATGAATGAAGCAATGAATTCCGGTTACCATTGTAGTGCGCTGTTTCACCAGCATTTGGAAGCCCGATCTTGAGCCCAGCATGGCAGGTATGCTATCAGTGGTGACACCCACAAGATTTACCCAATCCAGACCAAGTACTTCAAAGAAATTGATAACAATTTCCATCACATTCTGAGCTTTTGTGGTGGTATCAAGAGTCTTACAAAAAAGAAACTGGTCTTTGAAGTCTCCCTCGACCATGCATCGTGTGAACGCCAATAGCTGAGAGCACAATGTGACAATGTTCCTGTGGACCACTGAAAATGTCACCATGGACCACCAGTGGTCCATGGACCACTAGTTGAGAACCACAGGGCTAAGTGATACCAGTTTAAATTTAAATCAATTACAGTGATGCAAATTTTGTATGGACCTTGTTAGGATTGTTAAATTGAGTTTAATCAGCTAATTTAATAGTTGATGGAATTTCCATCGATTACTTGATTAGTAAATAAGGGATGAAACTGCAGAGTTCCAGCGGGTTTAGTTCCCGTCCCTGCCTTTTAAATGTATTAAGAACCGCCAGGCTCTTAGTACATTTAAAAGGCAGAAGCGCAGTGCCTGGGACTGAGCACAAGTTGGGAATCAGCTGATTCCTAGCTCTTGCCCGGTCCCCTCATTATGGCTCCCCCGCCCCACCACGGAGATGATGCTGGGGGGAACTGGCTTTTAAGAAGCAACAAGGGGGCAGGGAAGAACTAGTCGAGTCACTACTCGACTATCTAATAAGCATATGCTTACTGGGTAGTCGACTAGTCGCTTACATCCCTAGACCTTTTGATTTCATTGTAGCTCAAACCTGCCCCTAATCAACTTAAACATAAGTAAAGGCCAGTTTATACTGAAAAAGGCCTACAGCAAATTTTCAAAAGTTCCTAAGGTGTAGATTTGCAAAGGCACTTAAGGATGTGGATGGGTTCAGGTTAGGTGCCTAACTCCCAGTGCAATCAATTTGGATATATCTTTGTAAATCTAGCCTGCAGGCACTTAAGAATGTGAGTCACCCAGTGGAAGTCAGTGGGACTGATTCTTAGACTACATGTAAAGTAATGTCAACATAACTACATTGGCCAGGGTGTGCAAAAAACACCCTGATGAGTATAGTTATGCTTATGAACTCCCAGTATAAATGCAACTTGGTTGATGGAAGAGGCCTTCTGTTGGCATAGCTAACCTAGTTGGGTAAGAACACAATTTTTCCCCATTGGAAAACCCTCTTCCATTGGTGTAGGGGCTGTGTCTTCCTTTCGGGGCTATGCCAACAAAATACACTTTTGTTTTGTAATAAGTATGTCCACACATGGAGTTATACAGACACTGCTGTTGTGCTTTCAATTCACATGCTGCTTGGATAACTTGAGATAGAAT